TTTGAAGATTCAAAGGATTATCTGAAAATGTAAACACAGGTGCTTTAAGAACAAACCAGTATTAAAAATGGGCCTCGCAGTACGGCTGGCCGTCGTGGTCGAAGAAGCTGCCGTTTATGAACGGCGTGAAGCACTCCTGGGAAACAAAGTGGATAACTGAGTGCGGTGTGGGGAACTGACAAACTCTTATCTGAACTAGAAATCCAATTGAACCACTGATCTCTGCACTCATGGCACAGTGCTTGGCAAAAGCATATTTACTCCTTAAGTGTTAGTTTTTCCAAGTTAAAACCACAAAGTTCAATATACTTTTTAAAAATTTTATATATCTATCTGAAGTGGAGAGAAACTGGACTCATGCATTATTTTCTATTAACTCACATTTTGCTGGAGTTAAAGAAAATTCAAAATCTAACTTTATACAAGCTGCATAGCATGCTTGTAAAAAAAAGAAAAAAAAGATGGTATTCCCTGGGTCGGCTGACATCACTTTGATCTACGGAAGCCCAGAGAGTGCCTACTGATGAAAGAAAAAAAAATTCAGATTTTGAAAAAATGTAATCTCTACTGATACTAAATTACACTCCGATTATATCTACTTACCTCTTACCTACTTCTGAAGTAAAATTGCTTGACTACATTTTATAGGTGTATCAGATTAAAGGTAGTTGAATACAAATATTTGCCACTCTTCACAATTTTATTTATAAAGAAAAATGCAAAGATCATGCATCATTTTTGTTTGTCCAGTTAAAAATTACTTTATCTTAATCTGTCTCACAGGTTTGTGGTTATAGAATCACAAAATGTAGCAAAGTTCAAGCATTCCTAACAGTCTCACAAAATACTCTAAATCTTGTAAAAAAAACAACAACAACAAAAAAACAAAAACACAATGTCAGATAAAGACAATATTAAAACCATGACATATAATATTAATCTAATATGTTTGGGTTGCAGCCAGTGGCTCACCCTGCAGACGAAGCACTCTGGGTGCCAGAGTGAGTTGAGGGCAGAGATGTAGTTCTCCAAGATGGCCCTGGTGCAACCGCCACATTTAGGAGCAAACATGTCAAAGTAGTCCTTTCTGCAGAACGCCTTTCCATCCTTTTCATGGAAACCTAAGATGAACCAAAGACACAAAGAGCGAAAATTAAAAGCCCCTAAACAAATTAATAACATAACAACAGCCAGTGGGTGTGTCTCCTACCTTCTGGGCCAAAAAAGGATCCACACTGAGCGCAGAAGAAGTGCTCTGGATGCCAGGTCTTGTCCAGAGCTGTCACTACTTTCTGCAAAATCAGAGAAGCAAACGGTCACCTTCTGTCAAGCTCTAAAAAGTTGAAACAAGAGGAAAATTGAATGTGTGAGCATCCCTGTGTGTCATGACAGGAGCAACCATCACTGAGGCCAAGAGAGGGCAGAAAAAGTTCACAAACTAAAACTGGCTGCATGATCCTCAGTCTTAGCTGCATCTTTTAGCAGCTAATGATCGAAGTAGGCACACAATCCACAAAATAGCAAAAAAAAAAAAGGAAAAATCTTTAATGCAAAATTTCTGCAGCAGTCACAATTACTAACTGTACACCAGTGTGTTGCCAGGTTTATTAACAGAGACCTAAAAGTGATTTACAGCATCGCCACCAGGCGGAGCAAGAGAGCATAGTGCACAATTTCTGACCAATTTAACTTGAAATCCGTAACAGTAGAGATTTACTCAAGTGGAAAATCTCTGTACTGTTCTGAGCAAGCAAACAATATTTTTAAATGAGGAAGTTAGGCAGTGCATGAGGATCAGTAAGGAAGCACTGGCACTGACTCATGTCGACCCTCCTGCAGGCTAAAGTCCACCGTCCACTGCCTGCTTCCCTGCAAACGCCTCTAGCACTCTGTGTGTGTGTATGCATGTGTGTGTGTATATGCGCATGTGTGTGTGTGTGTGTGTATGTAAGAGCAGTGACTGGAAAAAGCACCCAAAGGGAGTGTGTCACCGTGAAGATAAGACTGAGTGCTGACAAGTGAGACAAGAGGAACATGCAGTGACACAGACATATGAGTTTGTCTGTCTGTGTCACTGCCAGTAAAGTTTGTGGAAAACTCTGGAAAAAGCTGTGCTCTGCTCACGAATTAGTGGAGGATTGTAAATGAATTACTTCTCACCCAATGAAAGTCCTCTGCGGCCACGCAAGTGCCTTGGAAAAATGTTCATAGCCGTAAAATCTTTTATATCTTGACACATTAAAACCAGAAAGTTTGATGTATTTTTATATGTAGGCGTACATGTTTTTAAACAACAAAAAGTTAAATCTGAAAAGTGCGGCTTGCGTTTGTTTTCACTTCCCCAAAGTAAAAGCAAGTGGGTCTCACGTTCAATGCGACACCCTAAAATAAATCAAAAGTAGCAACCTTTTAGAGGTGACTTAAGTAATAAAATCCACCTCTGAGTTATTTAATAGTTACATCCTGTCCCTGTTAAGCTTAAGCTATTTTGCAAAAATGTGGAAAAAAAAAAAAAAACTAAAGCCCACTCAAATACTGCAATGTTATTGCATTTTAAAGAAATAATTTAGTTCTACAAAACTGATGGAGAATATTTTACATACAAAAGAGAAGTTGAGTGAACTAAATTCAACCAGTACCTCACTAACAGGACAAACAACTTCCATCCATTACTGCTTTTTCCGCTGAGGTCTTAATCCATTAGCTTATGAATAAATAAATATCATTATCTGCCCATCCGCTGCATATGCATGTGCATGAGTGAGTGTACGCTTAGAGAAATGCATTACTAACATCCAGTATGGGTCCATTACAGTAGTGGCATCGCGGCGAGAACAGGTTGTGGTAGTCTTTCTCGCAGTAAGGCAGCCCGTCACGCTCAAAGAAGTTCCTGGAGCCTATCTCTTCCTGGCAGTGGGTACACACAAAGTGCTCCGGGTGCCACGTTCTGCCCATGGCAGTCACCACCTGGCATGGGGGAAGACATGGTGCGTTAAAATGTGATGAGCTCGCTCGGCGAGAGAAAAACCCCGCAGAGCAGCTCAGCAAGAAGCCGTGGGATTACTGCGAGCAGAAGCAGATGTCTATTCAAACGCTAAAAATTCAAAGTAGCAAGTTTTTTTGAGTTTCAGATTAGCCCTTGCAGGTAAAATATATAGTCTACAACCAGAGAAATGACTGATTTAGAAATCAGAATGTAGGTCAAGTGAGAGAGTCCTGAAGAAATGTTTGATCTGGTTTCTAAGTGTCTAGTAAGCCTGTCACAACAACTAGTTTTGCTGGACGATAAATTGTCCCAGTAAGTATTGCTGTTTAGAGAATATTTTCAATTAAAAACAGCAAAATAATACAGCAACATGTGCTAATTATCTGTAGAAATGACAACACTGGTAAACTGCTCATGGCTGGAAATAGCTTGAATAGCAATCAGGAAGATTCTGTCATTACCTGTCCAGCAATCGGTTTCTTGCAGGCACCGCAGACCCCCTTAGCGTTGGTCTGGACGCCGAGTTTGTTGAGGTCAGACTGCAGATTTCCCAGCATGTTGTCCAACTTGTTGGCTGGTTTTGCAGGAGCACTGGATGACTGGATGCCCTGTGACTGGATCTGATACAAATGGGAAATCGAAATTCATTACACATTTAACAAAAAATAAAAAGGAGAAACAGGAAATGTCTCCTTAATTAGGAAGTGCAGATGAATAGCTTTGAGTTCAGCATCCAATATGGCCGCTGTCCATACATAAAGTAGTTAGTTACTCATTAAAGCCAGAGACGTTACGCGTCCTCCAATTTGGGAATATGTTGATTTGAAAACATATAACTACTGTATTACTAATGGTAGCAAATCCCAAATCCCAAAGGTTTCCAACTTGCAACTAGCATTGCTCAACTCTGTGACATCATCCCCCCCCAAAACTAATCATACTTTATGTTTTACTGTTTCTTTTTTTGTTGTTGTTTTTGTGGTAATGTTAAAAGGTCTTGCAGACGATAGTGAGGGGAGTTGAAAGGATTATTCCAGGCCCCGTCCACACGGAGACGATTTTAGGTGCATCAGAAAAAGTTTCTTGTCGTGTGGGCCGAGCACCCAAAGAGAATCAGTGTCTTACAAGACCAGAAACAATCATTTCTGAAACCAGGTTACAGAGAGGATACATTTCAGAAGGCCGTTTTTATGTTTTTGTTGTTTTTGAACAATGACCTTGTAGCTTTATCTCCGACTCCCATATTCACCTCATTCTCACAAATACAAACACAGCAGCATTGTGTTTTTTTTATTTTTTCTTTCTGGTCGTTCTCTGACAGTGCTGCAGCGCCGCCGATTCGACTACGTCATTTTCTGTGGTTCTGCATCCTGTCATGTGGATGCACATTTTTTCTTAATAGTCTCTATATGTAAAGGGCACCAGTCTCCCTACTGTGTAAATTTCATATGATTCAGCTTGTCTCGTGTTTTTATTAGCTTTCAAATCAAACTGGTGAAGACATAGATGACAAACTAGCAAACTGATTTGATGATTATTTTTCCACAGATAAACAGATTGATATCCCTGCTTTTATAGGATTCTAAATGGCAAGATATATTTGGATAAAGCCTAAATTTTCTCTGCAGACTTTTAGGATGACTCTGTATCATCAGCATTGTGTGTGTGTGTATCTGGCTGCTGCAGTGTAAGCACACTCAGACCTTCTCAGATGGAGAGGTTATTGGATCTTTAAGACTCCCACATTCCTCTGGGAAAGAAAATAGCACCTCTGCTCCATGAATGCTATTTTACACAAATGACCTTCTCACCTCTAAAGTCATTAAAAAACATCCTGATTCAGGAGCATCAACTCTAAAGTCACTTGTATTAAATTACTATAACAAATATTCACTAAAGACATCAACAAAAGGCAGAGTGGACTAAACGATAGGTCTTTAACATCAATAAGCCTTTATCTAAACTCATGGGACCTGTTGACTTAAGTCCTACTATAAATGTGGTGGTAACTGTGCTGTCATGTGGCAGATTGGGTTTCGGTTGCACTGCGAGCCTACCATTCCCGAGCGCGGCAGGACACTTAGTGCAATGGGAACTTTGGGGAGCTACAGTCTGCTTCACCCTAAGCTCTTAAATTCTCCTCTGGACTCCAAACACACGGCTCTTGGCGCCGTCGGATGTCGGAATTAGAAGAGGGGCTCAGTCTCTCAACTCGAAGAGTCACGATCCCTTGTAACCTGGACCGGGTGGATTTCTGACAAAGCCTGTGACCTCAGGCCCAAAAACAGAGCCTGACGAATGGTGGGGCAGCCATGAGCAAATACATAAATAAGCAAGTAAAACAATGTAAAATGTAAAGAAAATTGAGAGAGAGAGAGAGAGAGAGAGAGAGAGAGAGTATGAGAGGTGATCCATGCCTGCAACGGTGGGAAGATGGGGTCGTACTCAGTCTGACAACCCACTGATACAAACACCTTGGGTGGCGGGGGTGGTGTGATGGGCTTGGGTGGGGGGCTAGGTGATGGAGGGGGAAGGACGGGGGGAGGTG